CTGGGATCTAGCATCCCTCACAGCCGAGCTTTGTGTGGGACAAACAGGACCACCAGGCCAGGGAGCTTGGCCCTCCCCGATTGTGAAGCAGCTAAACAGAGCCGAGTCAAGAAGATTTCTTTTAACTTTTTCCTCCAGCTGTAAAACAATAGATAAGAGATAAGATACAATCCCTTTATTGGCCATATACATGTCTTGCAATAGGTATTTGTCTTTTCGCAGACCCCAGCTTGCTCTCCATGAGACACACAGACAGGGTCAGCTATTGAATTATTAGGATACAGTCTGGAGTTGAAATACATTTTCAGCTCAAGTGTGATTTCTGGGCTGATCCCATTCTTTTTCTAAACAACTTGCTAAATTTAAGACGGAAAGTTCAGACAGTGTCTTTTGTCCAGTGACTGCAGTCTAGGTGGCTCTGTAACTAGTGCTGTTTTGCCGTTGGATTCCCAATCTGACATGTTTATAGCTGCCCATGTTCAGCCAGATAGACCCCACAAAGCTGGCATTGTGCAGATCCTCAGAGGCACATCAAGATCACAGGCCCTCTGTAATTACGGTTAAACAAATGCTCTGAAAGAGCCTTCTCAGTGTTTCTTTGTAGCCTCTCAATGCTTTACAGCTGTGCAAGAACAGCATTCCATTGTGCAAGGCAACAGTGTGATCAGAACCTGCTGAATATTACAAGAGTATTTTTGAATGGTTATCAAGAACCATTCAGCCTTAATGCCCTTTGGGAAACGTGCTTAGGCACCATAGGTAAGCAAAAATGAAAGTGGAAAAGGTATTGACGTCTGTGGAGAACTAAGTGATGCTATATTGTATGCTCTGGCCGTGACAAGTCTCACTCCTAATTTGTAGTTTCGGGTAGCCTTTAGATCCCAGGAGTGAACTTGTTTACTGTATTTCCAAAATTCCCACCAGCTTGGTTAAAGACCATGCCTTCAGAGGAGCAGAGTCACAGACGAGACTCAGGACATTCAACTGTTGACCACTGACTGCTGACAGCTGTTGAAAAGCTTTATTGCTGCAGAGAATGTCTGCCCCTTGTTCTTATTCTTACACTAAACTGTAAACAGGCGCCGTCCTTCAGATGAGATGTAAAACCGAGGTCCTGACTCTCTGTGGTCATTAAAAATCCCAGGGTGTTTCTCGAAAAGAGTAGGAGTGTAACCCCGGCGTCCTGGCCAAATTTCCCATTGGCCCTTACCAATTATGGCCTCCTAATAAT